CCCTTTTTTTTTTTTTTTTTAACTATGCCAGTTTTAATGTCTGCTTGTGTATACCAGAATCTAGTATATACACTAAATATACACATAAAAATAGCATCCAGCACAAAAGTATGTACTTTGTCGACTGTATCAAACTTTGTGTTCTGCAGGGACCTCAGGATTCCACAACTGAATAATTAAAAAAAATTTTTTTTTAAACGTTTTTATTACTTTAGAGAGACAGAAACAGAGCACAAGCCAGGGTAGGGGCAGAGAGAGAGGAAGACCCAGAATCGGAAGCAGGCTCTAGGCTCTGAACTGTGAGCACAGAGCGTGACGCGGGGCACAAACCCACGAACAGTGAATAATTTTGAGTGTCACTGCTCTAAACGAGACTGTGCTGTTCCTTCTGAGCTGGCAGAGGCCTCTCATTCCTCTGCTCCCTTTGTTCTCTACATTGGCAGCTGTAATTGATAGCTTTGGATGGCATCAGTATTATTTAGCATTGATCAGTGAAGTTGTACCTTAGGTTTTTTTAGTTATTTTGCTATTCCTAAAACTGATTGAGTGTGGGAGGTGTTCAGGAGTGGCTTTAGCTTTGTCATCTCAGTTGAGGATATTGAGGCACAGAGAAATTCAAGGCATCCTTTTACATAGAGCTTCTAAACCCTTGACTGACTTTGTGAGATCATACTGCCCTTCGTTGTGGTCCTTGCCTCGTGCTGATTTTTCTTTCCTAGTGTTACGTGAAGCAGGCCTTGTACAGCCTGGAGAGGCAGATCTGCATTTTTGTGTCACCTTGTTAGAAACACTGATCAAATGTTACTGCAACAGAGACCCTGAAAGCACTCCGTCCTCTGCTGTTTACTGTAGTAAACAGTTACTTTGTTGTAACAAAGTAATGCTAGACAAAAGTAATTAGGGGACATCTAAAGGCCAAATTACCCATGTCAGTGGATGCAGGATGTGATATTTGGCCCTTGAGAAGGCTTCCTAGACTTCCTATGAGGTAAAGTTAGTGCCAGGACAGTCTCGGAAGACTACCAGAAGATAAAATTCTTCAGAAATAGTCAGCAATGGGTCTAAGTTTCTTGAAGCATATTCTCTGCCTGGAAATATAACTGGAAATCTGTAAGTTCTGGATTTGGAGTACAGGCCAGGAGAAGAATGGCATGGTTTATATTGTATAAGTAGGCAGTGTTGTTGGTACCTAAAAAACAGGAGTGAGAAAATATGAATACCCTGGAACTTCATTGTTATTTAAGGAGTATCACTTTACTACACATTTCTCCTACAGTGTTCCTCAAAACCTGTTCCTGGTGATTGACCTCCTGCAATGTGGGTAGATTTTTGATAATACCTAATCAGTCTCCTACTTTTGTCCCTCCCACCCCCCTTCTATTCCCCTTTTCTTTACCCTTGCAGCGCTCCTTCCTAGCAGCTTCTGTATGTACACCACGCTGGTAGCCATGACTGGCTGGTATTTGGACAAGACTTCCATTGCTGTGCTTGGAGTGGCAGCTGGGGCTATCTTGGGCTGGCCATTCAGTGCTGCCCTTGGGTAAGAAACCAACACAATTCATCTTCTGGTATCATTGGACACACAGTCAATATGAGCGTTGGCTTATCTCCGTGTTCCTTGGTTATGACCTGAAGTCAAAGGAATGAATCAGACCTACCCAAATTCTGGGAGTTGGAAGAATCTGTCTCTTGGTGTTTATTGTTAGGATTAAATCTAATACCAATAGTGACTCTTAGGCATCTGCTGTGTGTTAGGTGCCACGAATCCCCTTAGAAACTTTATTCCTAAACCTTATAACAGCTTTGCAGGAGAAATCCAAGTAGTAGTGCTTCAGAAGGGGGAAAGTAGACTCCAGGAGGGTGAGAAATTTGCCTTGAAGGTGACGACTGCTTTTGGATCCAGGCCTCCCTGACCCCATCACTGATGTTTCTTCTACGCTACACTACTCGGTGACGTGCGTTTCCCACTCCCAGGCGTGAAGTCAGACTTTACCTGCAGGCTCGTGGTGTTAGCTCAGCAACTTGTCCCCAAGCAGCTTTGTTGCTCATGTTCCTTGTTTTTGCCACTTTGGCTCTAGTCTGTGCTGCATTTGCTTCTCACCTGCACTGCAGGTAATTTGGAAAAATACTGTAGTTTGATGTTAAGGTTATTGTAGTACAGCTGACCCTTGAACAGCCTGGGTGTTAGGGGCACTGACCCCCTGCACAGCCCAAAATCTGCATGTAACTTTTGACTCCCCAGAAACTTTACAATAGCTTATTGTTGACCAGAAGCCTTACTGATTACTTACTCAATTAACACGTACTTGGTGTGTTATATGTATCCTATACCGTATTCTTACAATAAAGTTAAGCTACAGAGAAGAAAGTGTTACTAAGAAAAGAAGATTTATTCACAGTACTGTACTGTATTTATAAGAAACAATTGGCATACATGCGGACCCACGCAGTTTAAACCCATGCTGTTCAAAAGTCAACTGTAATAGTCTATTTCTATTGTAAAAAAAAAATGCCAGTTTGTTTTAGGTAGAAAGAATACCTAATTTACTTTGCCCGTAGCCTCATCTTCAAAGGTACTCTTACATACTTTCGTATATATCTTTCTAGAAACTGTCCTCATGTGTAAAGGCACACACATGGACATCCTGGAAATTAAATAGGATTACCTTGTACCTGTACATACTTTTTGTTGTATCTACATTGGTCTTTGTACAGATGGCACAGCATTCCACCTTCTGACCCTGATGTGGCCGTTGCCTTATCGGGAGAGATTTAGTTTTCAGTATTCTCCTATGATGTACAATGCTTTAGTGAACGTTTTTGTCCACATGTCTATACATTGATGGAAATTTATTGATACGGTAAATTTCTGGAATGGGGGTTACTAAGAGGATCAATATTCTATGTTTTCTTAATTGTCTTCTATTTTTATTATTTTTTAACTTTTATTTTTGAGAGAGAGTGTAAGCGGCTGAGGGGCAGAGAGAGAGAGGGAGGCATGGAATCTGAAGCAGGATCCAGGCTCTGAGCTGGCAGCACAGAGCCCAATGAGGGGCTCAAACTCCCAAACCTTGAGATCGTGACAAGAGCTGAAGTTGGTTGCCCACCTGACTGAGCCACCCAGGCATCCCCTTAATTTGTCTTTTAAAGGCTGGTTTCCCCACCTCCAATCTTTGATTCTGTTTATCCTCAAAATACTGTATTCAGGATTTTGTGTGAGGCCTTCTTCTTTTATCTCAACCATCTTGATAATTCAAAACTGAGCTCACTGTCTTCCCTCCATATCTGTTCTTTTATCTATGTTTCTATCCCAGTAAATGATAACATCATCTGCTCAGTGCTCAGTCAGGAACTTGAAAATTACCTGTGACTCTTTTCTTTTTCCCATGTCCTGTTTGTTTTATCTCCTGAATATCTTGAATCTACTTTTCTTCACCTCTGCTCCTGAGTTACTATGCAGACTCGTAAATGATCTTCCCATCTCTAGGCTTGATCTCTGTAGATCTGCTTTCTATAATCAAACTAGACTTATCTTCCTAAAATGCAAATAGGATTTTATCACGGCCTGTTTTGTTTTAAACTCTGTAATAGCTTCCCCGTTGCTCTGTGTCACAGAAGTTGACAGCCTGTGGGCCCAGTGCAGCTGGTCTTGTTTTGTGCAGCCCAAGAACTAGGAAGTTGTTGTATTATAAAGGGTTGTTAACAACACACCCACACCCACCCACCCACACACACACACACACAGTACAGACACACACAGAACATGAAACAGAGACCATATGTGGCCTGCAGAGCCTAAAATATATACTGGCAGGTCCTTTCAATAAAAAGCTTGCCAACCTCTGTTCTATGGTGTCCAGATTCTAACATGACTCAAAAAACCCCAATCCTGCCTCCTTTTTAATTCTCCAGTAACTAAAAGTATTTTTTTTTTTCACTTCCTCCATTCCTTTTACTCTGCCCCATTGACATTGAACTTTATGAGTTCCTCAAATACCTTTAGGTGGCACATATTGATTGGTCTGCCTTTAGGGGAGATCAGTGATTTCAGGATCACAATCAGCAGTCTACCATCATTTATTGAATACTTTGTGCTACATGCTGCTGATACTGTGATAAGACAGTTACGCTTCCTGCTCTTTTGGAGCTTATATTTTAGTGGGAAAGACCGACCTTGAACAAGTAAATAGAAGTATGATGACTTACCAAAGGAGAAGTACAGATGCCATGGGAATGTCACTGGTTGGGCAGAAAAAAATGAAAACACAAAAAGTTAATGCAAAACTTAGATAATAGAATGTGGAAGTTCCTATCACAGAAGAGATGCCTTGTGGTAGCACATGACATTGCTAAGTAAATGATAGACATGATAATGCTATGTAAACTCAGAGACAGGAGAAATCGGTTCCGCAGAGGAGTTGAGAGCAGAGCCTGTGGTGAATTTTGGGTAAATTGTGTCGTATCAGATTGGTGTGGGGAGGGAATTTGTTGTGGCGGGAGCATGGGTGAAGATTCTGGCTAGTGTACCAGATCTGGAGGTCCTGGGCATGAAGGTGACGGTTGATGATGTAAGAGTGGAGGTACCTCCTGAGAAAATGATGTAGAGAAAGAAGAGTAGAAGTTTGCTTTTGGGAAATAGACCGTGGTAGGGCACTAAAAGGAAAAGGTGCACTTGGGAAGAGGCCAGAAAAGAGCAGGAGCCAGGAAGCCTAAAGAGGATGAACAGATGCTTTGTGTCAAGTGCCACAGGAAGACCAAGGTAGATGGAGGTAGTGAAGAGATTCGGGGTCTGGCTGAGGGGAGGTGCCTGTTGACCTTATGTCATTCTCCCTGCCTTAAAGCCAGGCCTTCAGGAAGAAGTGGGGAAGGCAGCTTGTGGAATTTAAGTGAAAGGGAGAAGAGCAAATGGTATTGGAAGGGGGTGTATCAGAACTGACTTACTCAAGTTTGTAGTGTTAGCAAAATTTTTATAAATCATGGAAGAGATTTGTGTTGATTCATTTGGCAGGGTCGGTGTAGGACCACAGGGCACAGTTACTTAGAATTAATGTATTTTAAATGTCTGTCACACATGAATAGGTATAATAAGGAGCTCCTTCCAGAAGCTCAGTATTAATGTTCCTTGTGCATCATGGGGTGTGAAGTACTATCATGGGCTCTCTAAACAGAACACTGTATTTTTGAGAAGACATCCTCTTATATACTAGTGTTCTTTCCTCACTATAACTGCTAGAGACATTTTTCCCCCTATGTTCAGCATGAAGTATGTGTGAATCAGACTTGTTTGAGTCTATGTTGTAAGTATTTAATTTCCTACTTTGTTTCTCTGTTAAATAGTTTACCCATTGCCTTTGATTTGCTGGTCATGAAACACAGGTGGAAGAGTTTCTTTCATTGGTCTCTGGTGGCCCTAATACTCTTTCTGGTGAGTTTTATTTTGTTCCCTGTTTTGTTTGAACATTGTAATGAAAGCATGTTCTGATGTAGGAAAGAGAACATGAGAAGGTCATTCTGTTATTCTCAAGTTTATCCTGCTCCCCCTGGGAGAATGTTTGCAGAACAAACCCCTGCAATTGCTGTTTATTTCCTGCTCTGTTTCAGGTGCCTGTGGTGGTCATTGACAGCTACTACTACGGGAAGCTGGTGGTGGCACCACTGAACATTGTTTTGTACAATGTCTTTACTCCTCATGGACCTGATCTTTATGGTAAGGCCTTAGGGACTCTGGGGAAGGGCAGGAGATGGCTTCATTTGCCTGAACTTTGACATTTCAACGTGGTTTCTTTATTTCATCAAATATTCTTTGGCAAATACAGCATTTCTTTGCTGGTATTCTTTTTAAAAAAGAAATGACATTCAGCTATAGCACAGCGATGATTAAGTAACCGGTAAATGTTTCTTCTTGATTTATGTGATTTCTGTTAGTCCTGTCTGTCGTTCTCGGTATGTTGTGGTATGTTTCTTCCTGATTGATGTGATTTCTGTTAGTCCTGTCTGTTGTTCTCGGTGTGACGTGGTTCTTGATGCTACTTTTTAAAATGAAAAGTTACTTTTTAGTCTTTCCATTAGAAAATCCGTATGATAACAAAAATAGGAAAATAAAAACATTCATAATCCTGTCATCTCCAGATAGTTGTTGTTAATATTTTGGAGTCTCTTCCTCCAGATGTCTTGTGGACATACACACATTTGGTATTACTTTTTCTTTTTAAAATTTGCATTAAGTATCAGGGATTAGGAGAGAAAGTTTGGAAAATGTATAGAAATAGCAGAGCAAATGGTGGAGTCAGCATGAGAAAAAGGTGGGTAGTTTGGCCAGCTTTAAAGGGCTGATGCCTTTAATCTGGGGAATATATTCTGCATTTTACCTCCATCTCCCTTTCCTCCCCCCACCCCAATGCCTTCTTTCAGCAAGCACTGAGCCGGTTTTATTTGGCCCCCGAGGGCATTTGTGTTGGTGACAGCTATGGAGGATTGTCCTAGAGATCTTCCTGGTCAGATCAGCCAAATCAGTAAACATCTTTTGAGACCATTTTTCATTAAAATAAGTGTAGTTTCTTCTGCCTTAATTTTCTGAAGGTCTTGAAGAATTTTTTAATATATGATTGTCCTGGGGCTCTGCTGTGAAACAAGTTAATACTACCCCTGTGTCTTACCAGTTTAAGCCATGCCCGTCACTTTCCTGTGCCACTTTGTCCACAGGACCAACAGATTTGATGATTTGAAGTAAGCATACAAATAAGATTTAATTGGACCTGTCAGGATTTGTGGAATATTGTCATTTAGATGGCAGTAGGTAATAGGTCATAATAAACCGTGTTTTGTCTAGTGACTTGAATTTCCACACTGCCTTGTTAGAGAATAATTGTTAAGTGAAGGAATTTTAATGTTTTTAAAAGTTTATTTAGGTAATCTCTGCACCCAACGTGGGGTGCAGAATGCACAACCTCGGTATCAAGAGTCACACACTCCTCTGAGCCAGCCAGGTGTTCCCTAAGTGAATGAATTTAAAAAGGCTCCTTTAAGACTTCAAGATCCCCAAAATGTGAGAAAAGCCCCAATTTTAAGCTTTCGCCTCTAGATGTCTCCCTTTAGCTGGAGAGAGTTTGTATGTTTTTAATTCCCCCTTGTTTTAGGTTACTTGTAACATTTTATTTGATTGTGTAAGACCATAGAAGAAAGACTGTCCTTTTAGACCCAGATTGCATGTTAGAAACTGATTTACATGGAATCTATGGAAGCAAAATACCCATTATGTATAGGTGAATAAATTGTTAATTTGAGTTTAATTTTGGGAGACTGTCTTCACTTTTTAAAAATTATTTTTTATTTTTAGAGAGCACCTACATGAGTGGGGGAGAGGGGTGGGCAGAGGGGGAAAAGAGAGAATCTTAAGCAGACTCCGTGCTCAGCATGGAGCCCATCTCAGGGTTCAATCCCAGAAACCTGGGATCATAACCTGAGCCAAAATCAAGAGTCAGACACTCCATCAACTGAGCCACCCAGGTGCCCTTGGCTTCACTTTCTAAATAGGTTATTACATAGTGGTATTAAAATAATTTTTTTAATGGTTATTTTAGAGAGCACACATGCAAGCAAGCAGGGGAGGGGCAGAGAGCAAGGGAGACACAGAATCTGAGCAGGCTTCAAGCTCTGAGCTGTTAGTACAGAGCCCAATGTGGGGCCTGAACCCACGAACCGTGAGATCGTGACCCTAGCAGAAGCTGGATGCTTAACTGACTGAGCCACCCAGGCGCCCCATCAAAGATTGACTTTTTAATAGATGCTGTACAGTTATCAGAGTAAGATAGCATATGTTTTGTCATGAAAGCTTCAGCTGTTTCACTCTACATACATGTTGGGCCCTATTGGGCATCATCTTGACTATTTTGTTAGACTTGACTGCTCAAAGTGCTTCATTACCTATTGTAGGCATAGGTTTCTTCTCTGAAAGTTACAAATGCATCATGCTGATAGTTTCTACATTCATGTCTTAGTGCTGTTTTTTGGATGTAAGAGCAAATAAGCCTATAATACTTAAACAGTTAGTTAAATGGACTTGAGTTAAAGAAACATGGACTAAGCTGCCTTTGAGCATTTGTGTCCTCATAATTTGCTGTCCCATACGGCTACAGTCACACGAACAGATAATTATAGTCAATTGTGTTACATACTATAGTGGAAAGATGGGGAATCACAGGAGCAAGTCCATCTGGTGGTAGCAGAAGGACTTCTAGAGTCAAGCCTGGAAGGAAGAGTAGATGTTTGGTGAGTAGATGCTAGAGGGGGTATATTTCAGACAAACACAATGTTCAGGGTAGGGACTGCAGAGACAAAAAAATAAATAAATAAAAAATAAATAAAAAAATTGAATATTTTGAATTTTTTTTTACAGCATTAGCTAATTTTAGATAGAAACTGTACAAACATGAGCAAGATAAATTCAGTTTCTCTGTTGTGATTATAATATAAATATTTACTCCATTATTCCTGGTTTTCACAGGGACCTTTCTATACTTGCTTGGCCAGAGAGCATCTATGAATGACATATTCCAGACCTGAGCTGGCTCTTTTGAAGCCAGGAGAAAGAAAAAGAGTACTTTTTCACAACTATAAATTATAATTGCTTCTGTTTATCAAATGCCTGTTCTATACGAGAGATTTTATATAACATCATCTTCTCCTCATAAAAACTTTGTGAGAGAGGCATTATTTATGCTTATTCCCAGCTATGGAAACCAAGGTGGAAATGCACATAAAACCAAGGGACTTGCACATAATTAATAGGTGGCAGAAATGGGATAAGAGCCCAGGGCTGTCTGACTCCCAAGCCTGTGTTTTTTCCACTGAAAACCGCCTTAGCAAAACTCTGGAGTTTGGCGTTTGAGACTCTACAAGAGAATAAGCAAAAACAGAGTGTGAGTTGGAGATAGAGGAAGATAAGATTTGATCTAAAGAAGGGGCAGGAAGTTGTGCCTCTGAAGGCCCACACACTGGGCTTGGAGGGTGATCAGGAAGCCTCAGAGAGCTTCGATGGCACAGTGGTATGCAGGCTGGCAGGCTCTCTTTCACAGGGGAGCATTGCTCCATGCTTGTTAAAGAAAAAGAATATTTGGACAAGGAAAAAAATACTTGGCATTTAGGAAATTTAGTGTAGACATAAAATTGCAAAGTCATAGGCAAAGCATCTCTTTGGTGTCAAAGATCAAGAGGTGAAATTTAGTGTTGCAAAAAACAAAGTGACTGGTCATGGCACTGATTTTGCTTCTTACCCTTGTAACATTTGGCGTTGGCAGATGTCGGGGTTGATAAGTATTTTTATGTGGAGAGTGAAGACTGGTGCTCTCTGAGGAGTTGAGGCCTGGAGAAGGCGTGGGAGGGCGGGTATGAGAAATGCTCTTCCTTCAAAAACAACAGTGGGTCGGCTCAACGATGCCACTTAGCAATTTAGGACGTGATCCCTGCCTGTTGATGTGTTCTATCAACATCTGTCACATCACTGGACAGGAAATTTCAGAAGGCAAAGGCGAATGGCCTTTATTAAAGGCCCAAAGTTTTCCATTTGTGCAGGAGCAGAGGATGAGGCCCCAGTGGAGTCACTCAAGAGCTGACTGGTGTCAAGATCTGTTCTAGGGCTTTCATTGTTTTGCTGATCATTTTTGTTGGACCTTGGTGTCTCTTTGCTCTGGGTGTTGTAAATTTGACATTTATAAGGATGATTTACTACAATTTAGTTCTTAAGGTTTTATAAAATTGTACGCCTATAAAATAGCTTCCTTTCATTCAATCGGTGGAACAGTAAACATTATCCCTTCTTCTTCTGGCCTCTTTGAAGGTTCCCTTTAGCTCACTTAAATGAAAGGAATTGGTGCGTCATTCCCTACAGAGACCCTGCTTCCAGCTTTCACTGCACACTTTGCACCAGTTAAATGCGTAGCTTGTCATTCTGACACTTTTTTTTTTTTTTTCTGCATAGTTGAGCTTTGATAGTTTCTGAGAAGTGGCATCAAATTACCTCCCTGGAAAGAGAGGAAAGTTTTTACTCTTTTTTCAAGGCAGGTGTCTGATCGTGTAGGGGGAGGACACTGGGTAAGAGAATTCCCTGTTTTTGTCTCTTTCTGCCCTTGTTTTTTAAGACTGTCGTGACTTGAACCTTCCCTGCCTTTGGCTTATCCTCCAATTTTTGCCTTGTTCTTCCAGGAAGCGATAGTCTATTATGAAATGTTCACAGCCTAGCTCTGAACTTGATCTATGAGTTCCTAACACATAAACATAGTTGAGTTTACCAGATTGATGCTTTGGGTTCAGAATTTCAGAGTATAGTACACCTAGGTAAAAAGGTAGTCAGCCCAAGCGGGAGGGTATAGTCAGTTGTGGTAGAGACCAATATTTGCTGGGAATAAAGTGCTTTCCTGAAAAAAACAATAAGTATTTGTAAGGAGCAAAGAAAGGCTTTTTTTTTTTTTTTCTTTCTATAGATGCTTATTAGGATCTATAAAAGATGATATAAAAGATGATCTCCTTTCTCCCTAGTCACTCTGGTTTTTCTTCTCAGGCTCAGATATCCAGAATTTGGTTGGAAAAAAGGAGGGCCAAGGTTGACAGCCCTGCTTCCACACTGGTGGTCAGGAGAAGATGATGCAAAAAACTACCTTTCAGGGAACTGGACTCCTAAGAGACTCAGTTTCAGAAATGTGTTATTACATATTAAAATCCAGAGAAGATGGATATTTCTTTTTGAAAATCATCACTTTTTTTTATTTTTTTATTTTTTTATTAAAAAAAATTTTTTTTAACGTTTATTCATTTTTTGAGACAGAGAGAGACAGAGGATGCATGGGGGAAGGTCAGAGAGAGAGGGAGACACAGAATCAGCAGCAGGCTCCAGGCTCTGAGCTGTCAGCACAGAGCCTGACATGGGGCTTGAACTCCCAGACCGCGAGATCATGACCTGAGCTGAAGTCAGACGCCCAACCGACTGAGCCACCCAGGCACCCCGAAAATCATCACTTTTCTATAACCCAAACGGGTATTGGTAAAGAATATGAATGTCTCTATTGAACTTGGCCTGGGACAGGAGCTCTGTTATGAACATCGCAATCAATGTGTTTAGACAGGAAGGAGTGAGCTTTTGCAAAAGGTGACATACAGTTGAAGTGGAGTTTTACTTAGGGTACCCCACCCTCCCTTCCCCTAAATGTTTCTAGCATTATGGGTTTGGTTTCTAATCTTATTTTGCTGTGCAAGCTGCAAAAATGTCAGGTTTTTCTGACTGTTCCTCTGCCTTCTGATTACCCTTTTAAGCAGTGCTGATTGCAGGAAATTGCTGTGGTGCAAGGCGGGTGTCACAACATGCAGTGATTAAAACCCGCATGTGTCATTCACTGCCTGATGGAAGTAATCACACAGAGGGGAAGAGCAGATAAAGAGCCTGCTAAATGTGCATAGGGGGCCGGTCCCGCATTTGGGTTCAAGGATTTTGAGTTAAAGAATCGAAACTGGTGTGGGTAAGGCTTGTGTTTTCATTTTGTTTCGTTCTGAGTCCTCAAAACTTCTAAACAGGATCTGGGGCTCTGAACATTATTTTTCTAAGGAAAACAAATTGTTGCTTTTTACCAAACACAGGGTCCCATGACAGTAGAATAGTGGTTAAACATATCAAGGGCCAAGAGACTGGGATGTAAATGGAATGAACGGGTGAGAATAAAAGGGGAAAGGCCTGAGTAGCTCGGTCCTACAAGACGGCTCCCACTTGGCCCTGCCACAGCCACACTCCAGACATCAGTAACCGGTCCAGATTGTCCCTTCCGACCAGCTGTAGATGGGAAGTTCCAGCAACCCCCTCTTTGGGTTCGCTTAATTTGCTAGAGTGGCTCACAGAGCTTAAAGAAACATTTACTTAAGTTTACCAGCTTAGTGGGCAGGATATTATAAAGGATACAGAGGAATAGCCAGGTGGAAGAGATGCATAGGGCAGGGAGTGTGGGATGGAGCTCAGAACTCCCATCCTTCCCAGGTGTACACACTCCTCACGCTTCTATGTGTTCATCAACCTGAAGTTCTCTGGACCCTGTCCTTCTGGGTTTTTATGGAGGGTTCGTTACACAGGCATGATTGCTGAAATCCTTGGCCGTGGGTGTGACTGAACTCTTGCCAGCCCCTCTTCCTTCCCTGGAGGTCAGCGGGGTGGGACTGAAAATTGTAACGGCCCCATCAGGGCAGTTAGGTCACACAATTGGTTCTGGCCATCTGTCCCCATCCTTCGCCCCCACCTGAGGGCTTTCCCCAGATCTCCTAATTAACAGAAGACCCAGAAGACACCCTTATCGCTCTCACCACTTAGGAAATTCCAAAGGTTTTAGGAGCTCTGTGCCAGGAACAGAGATGAAGACCAAATGTAAATTACTTACTATAAATCGCATTGTTACCACTAAGCTATTTAAATTATTTGCTTGTTCTGGAAAAGTAACAGATCCCATTCTCTTCCCCTCATCTGCCCTTGTGCTTCGCCTGTGTGACTGAGCCCTGGTAACTGAGTTCCCATTGTGGACTCCTTCACTTGAGGCATCGGACCATCAACATTGCTTGAACAAAGAACATTCTGAATCCAGCATTGTAAAAGATGTGAAAGGCATCCACTAATTATTTTTTATTTGTTTCCCCCAGGTACAGAACCCTGGTATTTCTATTTAATTAACGGATTTCTTAATTTTAACGTAGCCTTTGCTTTGGCTCTCCTGGTCCTACCACTGACTTCTTTGATGGAGTACCTACTGCAGAGGTTTCATGGTGAGTGGAGTAAGGGATGGAAGGTTTCTGGGGAGGAAAGAGCAAGTAACAATGTTTACCAAGAAGTGAAAATGAATCTACTTATTCTCTTCTCCGTTTTCTTCCCATGGCAATGGTTGGCTTATCAAATTATCATTCTGTGTTGGTAGATTATTTAAATTTATGTGAAGGTTCAGTAAATAATTGCAAGTTAGGTTGTCAAAGGGAGGAATTTTATATCCCTTCGAGTGAGGAAGTCAGGATAGCATACGGAACCGCACGGGGAGGCAAGAACAACAGTCATAAAATCTCAGGAGATGAAAGTATTTGAGTCTTGGGTCTTTTAAAGAAATGTGTAGTAATATGGATAATAGTTGAAGATAATAAGTCATAGAGGTAAATACTCCTTGGGAAATTACTTTAACCAAAAATTTGAAAACTAAACCATACAGGGATTTCCCTCAAATTTGATACTGAAGTGAGAGAAGCTTTGGACTTCCTGAGAAACATTGTGCTTCTCTTTGTTCCGTTTTGCTTCTGTGTTTGCCTTATTGTGGAAGGTTTGGTTTGTCATTTATTTTGCTTGCTCTGATTCCGTAGTGCACAGCCAGTGTTTTCTCAAGTTGTCACAGATTTGGATATCTGGTGCCCATGTTTCGTTTATGGAAGACAGATTTGAGCAGAAATTCATATGAGCTTTGGAAAGAGATTTAATTTCAGACATTTCAGTCTGATTTGGATGCCATATGATCTCTCCATCCCGCCCCCCATTCTGCTTTTCTGCTATTAATGGTTTGTAGAGTTCACTGTGTTACACTCTTTGAATACGAAAGCAGCCTCCAGTCACTTGTTTTGTTTTAGCATAACCATAATGCCATTATCCTAATAAAATCAGCAATTCCTTAATATCTAATACCCAGTTGATACTCAGGTTTCCTACACTGTCTGAAAAACAGCTTTTTCTAGTTGTTTAAAAGAGGTTCTAAAAAAGGGTCATATACTGACTTTGATGTTAAGTTTCTTCAGCTTTTTACGAGGTTCCCCCCCTCTTGTTTTTCCTCCTGAAGATTTCTAAAGAAATCAGGTCACCCATCTTGCATAATGTCCCACATTTGGATCCAGCTGTCTGTCACCTGGGGTGTTAACTTAGTCCTGCATTCCTTGCATGTCCTAAGGATCATTTTATCTCTCTTTTTTTTTTTTTGAAAAGTAACTTTTTTTTCTTTACTGTAAAGATAATTTATGCTTGTAGAGAATTTGGACATGCTTGTGATGTAAGTATAAAAACAGCATATTAAGCTGTTCTCTACAGTACGAATCCAATTTTGTTTTAAAAATGTGTAATTTGCACACATGTCCACCTAGTAAAAAAAAAAAAAAATGAGTGCTGTTTTTTCTTTATACTTTCTGTGTATTTTATAATAGAAAAATGTTCTTTTAAAGAGAAAAAAACCAGAAAAACATAAAGAAGCAGGAAAGTTACCTATTTTCTCATCATGTGATACAACTGTGGTTATGATTTTGTAATTTTACATAGGACATTCAAACAGGTTAGGCCATATTTTATTTAAGTTTTTTAAATGTTTGTGTAGTTTTCAGAGTGAGTGAGATGGAGTATGAGTGGAGGAGGGGCAGAGAGAGAGGGAGATAGAATCCAAAGCAAGTTCCAGCCTCTGAGCTGTCGGCACAGAGCCCATTGTGGGGCTCGAATTCAGGACCTGTGAGATCATGACCTGGGCCGAAGTCGGATGCTTAACTGACAGAGCCACCCAGGTGCCCCAGTAGGCCATATTTTACAAATATATTTGCTAGCCTTGAAGATACAGAAAAGGATTTCATTTTTTTGTAATCAAGAAAATTCCAACCTAAAATACTTCTTGGAAAGATGTAAATCATAGATTATCACCTAAAATCTTAAGGTAAGATCTTAGAGTAGAAAGTTTAAAGGATAAGCCTGGTATTTCATTTGAAGAATTTTCATCCCTAAAGAGTTTCTACAAAAATACTGATAAGTTAGAAACACCAAAGTGGATCTTGATGACAATCCTGAGCTTTTCCTCCAAACTTGCTCTTTGTAGACATAACACCAGGGGGCGCTGTCGATCTACCCTTTGCCAGTGATTTCTAGCACTGCTGATCATCACTCATAGAAGCACAGTAGGGGATGCCTTCACCGTGGGTTGCAGGTTTATCCGTCAGTGTTCATGTGCCTAACCACAGGAACTTTCCAGCAGGTGCTTGAGTCTTGGAGCTCATTAAATGGCTTTAATTCTTTCACATGCCTTGAGTATATGTTAGTTTCAGTTTTAAGATTCAGAGTGGATGCGTGTTGTGAGAGAGGAGAACAAACATCATCAGTAAACTTCCTTTAAGAGTTGCTTTTATATTTGCTTTGAGACAGACTCTTTTGCCATTTATACCTTGACAAAAAACGATGGGTTTGAGAATCCAACTTTTTCTTTCCTTTGGTCTAAATCTATTTCAACAGACTGGTATATAAGAAAGGAGATTAATCTATTAAATAGAGCATAGGAATTAAAACCCAAGAATTGAGTTTATGTTATGCTTTTGGTTAATCTCAGGAACCTTTACCTTAGTGGTAGGACTCACTGAGGAGAGAAGGCTTTTCTTCTTTATCCAATATATTAAGATTTATTACCCAGTCCCTTGACTTTGATTTGTGTTCCAGCCAAGTCCAGTATTGTGACTCACATTAGAGGCTGGCTTTCTTGGGGGAGCTCAGGAGTATATACCTTTTTCTACTTGACCCCTTTATTGCATCAGAGAAAGTGTGAATATAAAAGCTGAAACATTTTATGGGGTGCCATACACATAGGGTGTATTCCCATCTGAGATCAAGAGAACACTGAAACTAGATATGTTGTTTTATTCTAACATGGTGAAAGGTGGATGTTTTTCTCTGTCTTACAGTTCAGAATTTAGGCCACCCGTATTGGCTTACCTTGGCTCCAATGTATATTTGGTTTATAATTTTCTTCATCCAGCCTCACAAAGAGGAGAGATTTCTTTTCCCTGTGTATCCACTTATATGTCTCTGTGGTGCTGTGGCCCTTTCTGCACTTCAGGTGAGTTTCAGGGAAATGTACATTTGCTTCGTTCTGTTTCACTTGTTAAATTGGTCATAAAGCTTAAAGGCAAATTACAGTATGCTTCCCCCAAGATACTTTATCCATACAATAAACCTGATAAACATATTAAAGTAACTACCATTGTTTATGTATTGCTTGCTTGGCTGTTGATCATACTCTTACGCTGATTACATATTTGCATTGTTAACTGGTGTGTTAATTTTTTTCTATTGCCAACCAGAATCTACTTGCTATTAAAGGAATTTGGTTAGATCGTTGTATAGGCCTACCACAAGATGGTGGCGCCATGGCAGAAATAATGGAACGTCTGCTCCTTAGCTATGAGATCAGATTAAAACTTTCTCAAGTGTTGGGATAACATCAGGAAGTTAGCAATATGGGACACTTTGTAATCCTGGCTTAAAACCTGTCCAGGTCAATTCCTTTTCAGAATTTATCTTGTATGTATCTGTATTTGTGGTCTCAGAAGCCTCCAGGCTCTCTTTCTCTTTATTTTTTTAAGTTCATTCATTTCATGACTGAGGGAGGGGCAGAGAGAGAGGGAGACAGAGGATCCCACTGTTAGCGCGGAGCCTGATGCGGGGCTTGAGCCCACGAACTGAACCGTGAGATCATGACCTGAACCGAAATCCAGAGTCAGATGCTTAACTGACTGAGCCTCCCAGGCGCCCCTCCAGGCTTCTTTTTGACCTCTGCTGCCATTTGCAATTGGCAGAAAAGAGTAATTAGGGAAGCATTTTTTTTCCTTAACACTTCTATAGTGCTATAATTCACAAACCATATGATTTACCCATTTAAAAAGCATAGAATTAAATGGTTTTTAGTACAGTCACAGGTTTGTGTAACTATCACCACAGTCCATTTTAGAGCATTTTTATCATCTCAAAAGCTCTGTACCCCTTAGCTGTCATATCTCCCAGCTATAAGCAACCACTAGTCTACTTTATGTCTCTGAAGATTTGCCCATGGAGTCCTAAAATACATGGTCCTCGTGACTGGCTGCTTTCAGTTAGCCTCATGTTTTTTTTTTTAATTTTTAAAAAAATGTTTTTTTTTTGAGAGATGTAGCGAGGACAAGTGGGGGAGGGGCATAGGAGAGAGGAAGACACAGAATCTGAAGCAGGCTTCAAACTCTGAGCTGCCAGCACAGAGCCCAGTTCGGGTCTCCAACTTGGGAATGGCAAGATCGTGCCTTGAGCTGAAGTCGGACACTTAACCAACTGAACTACCTGGGCGTCCCATCGGCATCATGTTTTTAAGGCTCATCCATGTTAGGTTTATAGTTTTAAGAAAGAATTTTAGTTATAAATGTAATTGCACTTTATTGCAGATAATAAAGTTTTAATTGTTTAAAATCACTGTCTAAGTTAGCCCTACTATCATAACAAAACCATCTTCCAGCATATTTGCCTATCATGTACCAGACTTGATGATGGTTATAATCTGACATCTAACTTAATATGTCTTTTAATACAACTACATATCATTTTCAGTGTTGCCAAATCTATACCCATTATTTGAATAGGAGTATGTTCTCAATTTGGCATAATACATAACATTATGGTATATGTAAACTACTGAACTTATATCTATGATTAGATATATAATTTATGGTAGGTTTAAGTTGCTTATTTATTTCAGGATTATAAATAATGTTAGGATGAATATCTTTCTTGAGGTATATGGATTGTTTCCTTAGGACAGATTCTTTAAAATATGAAAGGAGTTCAAACCCACTGATGGCAATAGATTTGTTGGCAATATATTTATTGATGGCAATAGCTATAGATGGCAATATTTGTAATAGATTATAAAATTGCTTCCCAAAAGTAGTTCTAGTCTAGGAGGGAAACAAAGCAATAAATCTAATGGGAAGGTACTCACAGACTGTAGAACTCATGCATACATGTATATATTGTAATAATATTCATCTAGTTTGTAAAATAGTTAAGATAATTAACAGCATTTTCCTGATGTTCTATGAGAGGAATTCTTTTGTTTGGTCATGAGACATTTTCTTGATACCAAAAACTTTGATGAAAGCTTGTCAGTGGAGGAAAGTAAAGATTAATACTTGTTACATCAAAATAGACATACTGCATATATCAAAGCAAACTGCTAAAAAGCACTTTTGTTCTTATTTATTTAAAAAAATGTCTTTTGGGGCGCCTGGGTGGCTCCGTCGGTTGAGTGTCCGACTTCAGCTCAGGTCATGATCTCACAGTTTGTGAGTTCGAGCCCTGTGTTGGGCTCTGGGCTGACAGCTCGGAGCCTGGAGCCTGCTTCGTATTCTGTGTCTCCCTCTCTCTTTGCTTATCCCTGCTCACGCGCTCTCTCTCTCTCTTTGTCTCAAAAATAAATAAACATTTAAAAAAAAAATGTTTTTAAAAATTTTTTTTTTCAACGTTTATTTATTTTTTTTGGGGACAGAGAGAGAGACAGAGCATGAACGGGGGAAGGGCAGAGAGAGAGGGAGACACAGAATCGGAAACAGGCTCCAGGCTCTGAGCCATCAGCCCAGAGCCTGACGTGGGGCTCGAACTCACGGACCGCGAGATCGTGACCTGGCTGAAGTCGGACGCTTAACCGACTGCGCCACCCAGGCGCCCCCAAAAAAATGTTTTTTAAGCCGGCTCCACACTCAGTGTGGACCTGCCCTCATGACTCTGGGATCAAAAGTTTCATGGTGTACCAACTGAGCCAGGCAGGCACACCAGCACTTTCATTTAAATATTAAAAAAACAAATTATTAGGACTTTCTAAGCACTAGAGAGATGTCTATATACTTTTAATGTGAAGCTGGTGAGAATTCCTCTGGTTGGGCTGACCCGTAGATAATTTAAACAGAGCTTGCTTTCATCTTTGAATTTGGAGTGGGCACTCACTGTTGGCAAATGCTCAGACCCTTGATGGAACCTCTTTGGCTGCTTCTTCCCATCTTGGTGTTAGGATGTTTTATGATAGTGTTCTGTATATTATGCAAGTTCTTTTTTTTTTTTTTTTTTTTTTTTTCTTCAATACAGTTTTCTTTCCTTCTAGAAATGTTACCACTTCGTGTTTCAGCGATACCGTCTGGAGCATTACACTGTGACGTCGAACTGGCTGGCGTCAGGAACGCTCTTCCTGTTCGGCCTCCTGTCCTTTTCCCGCTCTGTGGCACTGTTCAAAGGTAGAGGCACACAGTGCCCATGCTCGCAAGGCACTTCACCTTGGGTTTTGCTCTGTGTGTGATTATTACACTTCAGCGTTAGCTGGGAGGAGGACTTTCCTATAAAGAGAGCCTATGGGCTTCATTTGTGATTGGGCTGTGACTTATCTAAGATTAAAGAGAAGATTGACAATTCCTTTCACAGTGATTAACTATAAAAGCTTTTTTTCTATTCTTGTGTTTTTTAATTTTATTTTTTAGAGGATGCTTTTTCATTTTGAGGAATGAATTAAAGAAGCCTTCAACATAGGAAGCAAATTTGGGGCTCAATTCCCATGATAATACTCTTCCTATAGTCATTATTTGGGTCCACAAGATTAAAATGTGCTCAAAGAACAGAAGCGAGAAAGGCGGAAGGGTGTACAGAAGGGCAAGAAAGCAAATTATATTTGGTGAAACAGGGTCTCTGCTGTGATCATCTTCGTAACTGTAGAGACGCTGTGTGTCAAGGGAGCCGGCTTCTTGCTGCCATTGTTGGGGGCCTTCACGCTCTTAAATTACACATGGATTACAGTGGGACATTAACATGCATCATGATTAAATGTTAGACTCTCATCTTACATGTCTTCATCTTTCACAAACCTTTCTCCCTTCCAGGGTATCACGGGCCCCTTGATTTGTATCCAGAATTTCACCGAATTGCCACGGACCCAACCATCCATACTGTCCCAGAAGGCAGGCCTGTGAATGTCTGTGTAGGGAAGGAGTGGTATCGATTTCCCAGTAGCTTCCTTCTGCCTGATAAGTAAGTTGTTTCTAAATCCCCAAGGTTTTAAATCCAGGAGTAAAAATAGCAATTCTGTGGCAAAGTCTCCCTAAGTTTACTTTCATTTTGGGGTTTTTCACAAAAAGTTTTTGAACAATGGGCCACTTCCTAGCTGTGAGGTCTGCACTGTGCGACCATTTCCTGTGTCCAGTAGAGTGAGCACTGTGTCCGGCTGTGCACCCTGCACTACCTGTGACTATAGACATCTGGGAACTTCTAAAAACACTCCGGGACCTAGACTCCTGCTAGTGGCTCTTTCTCAGGATTCATATTTAAATTTCTATCATCTGATATTAATCGACTTCCAAAAGTGGTCCAGAAACTCAGGCTAAAAGGATAGTTTTGAAGAAGAAATGTTGGTCATCCAATAACGGTGTAAGTTCTTTACCAAAATATGGACAGTGGGGAGAGCTGTGGTTAAGATATCTGTACCTTTATGCTGTTGTTGGATGATGATAGCATAGACTGTGGAGTTCCTTGTGTTGGCTTCATGTGGACAGAGAAAGTTCTATTTACGGAAAAGGGAAGTCAGGTTAAGATGAGTCCTGATGCGGCTTAGCCGGTGGAGGTCTTTTGTGTGTAGTGCAGATCTAGTATCCGTCACTAATGATTCAAGGAAAATGGTTTTAAGTATTAACTTTAGCCTTTGCCTTTTATATTTGAAATAGTTTCCTAACTAAAGATATTTTTGACAGTTGCTCAGGAACAAAGTACGTCTCCCATGGTGTGTTTTTACATCTTACTCTTTTCCTGTTTGATGAATTTGCTTTAATTTTGGTAAATGCCTCTGATCATGTGGTAATTGGAGGCAGACTGGCATGGTTCTCCGATGTTTGGTGGTATGACCGTTTGGTTGCAAATTTTACTGCCAAGAGTTGTTGACATTGATCGAGAGACTTCTCGATGAAAGTTTCTCAACGATGTTGTACTGAGTTACGACCTCTGCCTCTCTGCTCCCTGGTGGGTCGAGGTTTTAGCAGAAATATATTTTTTCCAAGTGAAATATTTTTCACATGAATTTTGGGGGGGGGGGCTTGTTTATTTCAAGTACATTTGGCAATATGGGCCCCCTGTGTTTTCCTTACTCTCTCTTATTTGTGTTTCTGACAGTTGGCAGCTTCAGTTCATTCCATCAGAGTTCAGGGGCCAGTTACCAAAACCTTTTGCGGAGGGACCACTGGCCACCCGGATTGTTCCCACTGACATGAATGACCAGAACCTGGAGGAGCCATCCAGATACGTAAGGGCAACATTCTCCTGTTACTACTTTGAACAAAGTTCTACCCCTAAAATCTGTTGGCATACATGTTAGAGCATTGATGAAATGGGAATGTCTTAGAAAGTGATTCCTTCAGGGTAAGAGATGTAACGGGTTTGTAGAGAAAGAATAATAGCACTTTTATTTTAAAATTTCCTTTTGCTTTCTATGTGAAACACGTAGTGCAGTGTATTTTCTAAGCCAGTCTGGAAAGTTTCTTGTGTTGAATTCGAATCATCGTGTTGAAACGCGTTCTGAAACTCTCATCATTCCCTGGCCTATTAAAATACTCGGTGGGGAGCTTTCAAATTCTCAGTAGATCTTTGACCTAACTGCTAGTGCATTCTGGTTTTAGCAAATGGCTAGTCGTGAGTGCAGGCTGTGTTCATGGTGAGCACGTGGAGCGTTCCCTGTCAGGATTGTGCCCTTTTCCCCACTCATCGTCACATACTCCAATATCCCATGTGGTTTTATTTCAGCTCCTTTGAAAGAGGACACTTGCGTCATTGATACTTGTAAAATCGTTCATGGTAGAAAAGGTGAGAGCAGTAATGCTCCTGGTTCCCAGAGACAGTAGAAGAATATTTTATAGAAATACTAGAAAATGCTTTTTTTTTTTTTTTTGGCAATCTGTCTTTTAAAGAAACATTGAATGGAAGATGACAAATACGTTTTGTTTAGGTTTTCCCATGTACTTATTATGTGAAAGGATGGGGGCTTGTGGTATTGTGAAGTGCTCCTGTGGCCTTTCAACTCCCAGACAGAGACCTTCAGGGCCGAGCAATGAGATTCTTACCGCGGGCCTTGTAGCCATAAGCTGTGGAGGCTGCCGTTGTAAGATACAATGGCCTGGCCCTCTCAGAAGGTGAGATCTTTATTCCACTGAGTGGTTGATTTTAGAGCTTTCTTTATAACTTGAGTCTCTGATTTCTGTAGCATTGAAGATAGCCCGGGATGGGGTAAACTGTTGTTGGTCACTTTTGTTTTAGCTGCGCATACTCTCCCGACAGCAGGCTTTGATGCGTAGGGACTCCTCATGAGGAAACTGGGTAGTCAGAAGGCTAGGCATGTACAGCATGATGGGAGAAAGATACAGATTGAGCTTGAGGTTGTCGTAGTTATGTTTTAGGAAGAAGTAACACAGAGCTAGTAATAAAAAGGAGCATGGACTTTGGAGTCAGGTAGGCCTGAGTTCAAATCCCAGGTCTGTTTACCTAGGTGACCTTGGGCAAATTGGTTAACTTCTCTGTTCAACTAATATCAGTTTCTATCTGTAAAATGAGAATAATGACGCTCACTTTGGATGATTATAATGAGATACTATATCTGTCATATTTAGCGTAGTATCTGGTACATGGGATTTCCCACAAATGTTCTTTATCTGATAATGGTATATATCACATGGATTAGAGGTAAGGGAGCCCTAAAGAGGTTTTATAATCAGCCTCAATCTCTCCGTCCATCCTTACTTCTCTTGTTCTCCAACCTGATTTTTGTCCACTCACACTCACATTACCTTTTCCATCCCAATGACTTTGCTTCTTTTGGTGACCGCGCCTGGACCACCTTTGTCTCCCTCCTTCGTCTCCCTCCTTCTGCCTTAGGAGGTAGCCTTTCCCAGCTGTTGAAGCTGAGCTGTGCTCCTTTAAATGCCTTAAATACTTATTTGTACCATTCATTTAGCCATTTAATTTTGTCTTCTGTTACTTACATATTTCTGATATCTGTGTCCTGTCTTTCCCCATCAGCCTGTGCATGCTGTGAGGAGAGCCCTGGTTTTTTTCTGTATTCACCACAGCCTCTGGGGTAGTGCTGTGCCTGCTTTCCAAGTGGAGAAATGAACATTCCTCATCACTGTGATAGTGGTGTGGAGAGAGAGCTGGCTAGAAAATCTGCAGGGGCCTTTTGCACACTTCTTGGGCTTTGGTCCCTGGGTTTCTTTGGTTAGGTCATACTCCCATGTTCTGTGCTACCAAACACTGTTAAATTCAGTTGAGTGGCTCTATGTCACCTTTATCCAAAAAGCAAAGATTTTTCAGAATACCTTTGGGAGTCACCAAAATACTGTCTGATAAAAACAGGGACGAACAAGTCAGATCTACGAGTGTGTAATGTCTTCCATTGTGCTCACCTGCCTTCCTGTGTTGGAGGGTTTTCTGCAGAGTTCTTTCTGACATTTCTTACATGGTAGGGCAAGTGGCCTCCAAATCCAGGCTGCTCACCTTTCACCCTGTAGAAAGTAGAAGAGACATTGGATGACCTACTGTGAAATCTTTGTCAGCAATGGTCAGGGATTTGTGTCTTCCAGCCAGCTATTTTTAAAAAGGTAGTGATTTTCCTCTGGTGATAAAAGTAAAATATGTTCGTTGTATAAAATAATGAAAGCTATGAATAAAAAAAGTCCTATATAATCTTCTTACCCAAATATTAAACCAGTGTTAGCACTTTGGTGTTTTTTTTTTTCCTTTCACTTTTTTCCCTTGCGTATATGGGTGTGTGTATGTGTGTGTGTGTGTATAAAAGGTCAATTATTTTTTTAAGTGTTAATGTTGTAGTTTAAGAATGGTGCCAGGGAGTGCCTGGCTGGTTCAGTCAGTTAACCGTCTGACTCTTGAATTTGGCCCAGGTCATGATCTCACGGTTCTATTGTGGGATTGAGCCCCACCTCGGGCTTTGTGCTGACGGTGTAGAGCCTGCTTGGGATTCTGTGTCTCTTCCGCTGCCCGTCCCCTTCTCAGATGCATGCACACATGCTTTCTCTTTCTTAAAAATAAATATATACACATTAGTAAAAAAAACAGGTACCAGGATCATGTCAACAATGGCCAAATAACTTGGCCCAGTGTATAGAAGCACGTGCTGTACTATGTTAACTTTTGTGACTTCTGTTACCAATCCTGGCTTTAAGTTAAGGTTCTTTGAAGAAGGCAAAATAATTATGGTCCCTGTCTTTCCTGAGCATGGTAAATAGCATGCCTGTTGGCTCTGAGTGACAGATTTTATCCAGCCTTCCCCGTCAGTGCTAAGTGATTGGGTCTGTCTCCTGTTTCTAGTCTGCATGGAAACTAGGAAACATGCATGACTTCCTTTAGTTTGCTATTCTCCTTTACCTCTGAGTTTATCAAGAATAAGAGTGTCAAGGCTCTGTGGTTTGTAACACACTGTTAGAACTATATTGCAGAAATATTTTTTGCTCCATATTCTTTCATAATAGGTATCAAATAGCTTTTGAATATTTCATTATCGAACAGGTGGCATTCTTAGACTGGTACATGCCACATTTTCTTCCAGAATCAAGCTCTGAATTGAGAAGATACATTTATGGCACAAAAACAGAACACACAGACCAATGGAATAGAATAGAGACTCCAGAATTGACCCACAGAAGTATGGCCAACTAGTCTTTGACAAAGCAGGAAAGAATATCCAATGGGAAAAAGACAGTCTATTTAACAAATGGTGCTGGGAGAACTGGAGAGCAACATGCAGAAGGTTGAAACTAGACCACTTTCTTAAACCATTCACAAAAATAAACTCAAAATGGATAAAGGACCTGGATGTGAGACAGGAAACCATCCAAACTCTAGAGGAGAAAGCAGGAAAAAACCTCTCTGACCCCAGCCGCAGCAAATTCTTACTTGACACATCTCCAAAGGCAAGGGAACTAAAAGCAGAAATGAACTATTGGGACCTCATGAAGATAAAAAGCTTCTGCACAGCAAAGGAAACAATCAACAAAACTAAAAGGCAACCAACGGAACAGGAAAAGATATTTGCAAGTGACATATTGGACAAAGGGCTAGTATCCAAAATCTATAAAGAGCTCACCAAACTGCACACCCAAAAAACAAATAATCCAGTAAAGAAATGGGCAGAAGACATGAATAGACACTTCTCTAAAGAAGACATCCAGGTGGCTGAAAGATGATTATCGTCGCTCCTCATCAGGGAAATACAAATCAAAACCACACTCAGATACCACCTCATGCCGGTCAGAGTGGCTAAAATGAAAAAATCAGGAGACTATAGATGCTGGAGAGGATGTGGAGAAACGGGAACCTTCTTGCACTGTTAGTAGGAATGCAAACTGGTGCAGCCACTCTGGAAACAGTGTGGAGGTTGCTCAAAAAATTAAAAAATAGATCTACCCTAGGACCCAGTAATAGCACTCTTAGGTATTTACCCAAGGGATACAGGAGTGCTGATGCATAGAGGCACTTGTACCCCAATGTTTATAGCAGCACTTTCACCAATAGCCAAATTATGGAAAGAGCCTAAATGTCCATCAACTGATGAATGGATAAAGACATTGTGGTTTATATACACAATGGAGTACTACATGGCAATGAGAAAGAATGAAATATGGCCCTTTGTAGCAACGTGGATGGAACTGGAGAGTGTTATGCTAAGTGAAATAAGTCACACAGAGAAAGATACCATATGTGTTCATTCTTATGTGGATCCTGAGAAACTTAACAGAAGACCATGGGGGAGGGGAAGGGGAAAAAAAAAGGGAGGGAGGCAAACCATAAGAGACTCTTAAAAACTGAGAATATACT